CAAACAATCAATTTTAAATAAACAGATATTTCAAAAGGTTCCTATAGAGTACTATAGATACATTGGGTGCTAATACCTTCCCATTGTATAACCAACCCCCGAACCATAGATCTCTTTCCAAAAACGCTTTGTATTTTCATTACTTTCAAAAGTATTACTTACATTGCATATTTAGGGTTTTATTTCGCTCTTTTCCCTTTTCCTTTGGAAACAATAAAGCGCGGTGGGGACTCTTGCTTTTGTGAGACGAATTAATCAATAATTCGATCTCCGATTTACCCCGCTACATTTTTTATCGCTACACATGTCATGGGTGAGCTACGTTGATTTTAAGTTCATACATTTTGATCTTGTCATGCATTCCCTATTTATCAAACACCTAACAATTAATATTTTGCGGAATTTAAATTGCGGAAATTAAATCTAAACTATTACAAGGCGTCGGGTATTTACATCGCCAAAAACAACCCTTGAAATTTTAAATTGCGGAAAATAAAAGAAAGCGATAAAATAATTCAAAGTCCTATTTAAAGCTATTACACTCCGGAAGCAATTACAATATTGGATAAAAATGGATCGCGTGCGAGAAATTAAAACGGCGCATTTTTTAGGGTTTTGACTCTTTTTTGAAAGAAAGTGTTTTTTTGTTATTTTTGAATTAAAAGGAATTAAATCTAAATTAACAATTAAATTAATTAATGAAAATATTTTTGATTTTGAGTATTTAAAGAAATAAAATAAAATTGGTCAAAATTAATAAAAACCTAATTTTCTACATTAATTTTTAATTATTGCAAAATTGTTAATGTTATTTCCTAATTAAAACTAAATCAATTAAATTAATTTATTTACAAAAATAAAATGATGAATTTAATTTTAATAAATAAAAATAATATTTTTTGTGTTTTCTGATTTTACGAGGAAAAATTATTAATTGGTTAGTGATTAATAATAAATAATAACAACAAAACAAATAAATAAATATAATGAAAAGAAAAATAAACCAAGGGGGTGTTGGGCCCAAGAGGAGGTTTGTTCAGCATTTTCCAGGCCCATTACAAGCAAGCCTGCTTTGACTTTTCAGGATCTCACGCGCGCCTGTTGACTAGAGCACATGGTGGTCTTTCATTATGGGCCATCAGATTTGGCCTAGAGGCCATCTGTCCACTAATGGCATGAGAGTGTATGGTGAGCCACGCTTTTGAATTTGCACTGGATTTCCTGGAAACAAAATTCAACAAATATTGGGGGACCTGGGATTCGAACCCAGGTCCCATTGTATTTTCCACTAGCGCCTTCACCAACTGAGTCATTGTATTTAATTGTTAATGGAATAAGTGGAGAATATTATATATGAAAAACAAGCAATATGCTGAAAATAAAAAAGAAAACGCGCGAGATTTGAAACAGCCAGTGGGGAAGAGACACGTGATCATCTTCTTCGTTGAAAAGCCTGGTTATTTACTTGCGGATTTCATCCGCAGCTAAATTCATAGGCTTCTCCTAAAACCTTCTCTAGGCCATGAAAATGCAAACTAAAACCACAACCATGATCGTCTCCTTTCCCTGATCACACCCATGTCCATGGTTTGCATCAATTGTGCCTGAAACTGAAATGCCTAAAAACAAGAAATACAAACCCTAGTTTCAGGTATGGTGTTATAGGCTACAAAAACAAAATCAAATATTGCAGAAAGTTTGGAAATTGAATGATAAGTATGATTGTACCAAGAATTTGCTCAAAAGATACAGGAATATGGGAATACGATTTCGTGTACAGGGCCACTTTCAGGGAAGCTTACATTGCGTTTTAGGAGGCGATTGGCTTTGCTTTTGATTGCTACTGCTTTAGTGGATGTCAAACAAGAGATCTATGTTGAGATTTTGCTTTGAATCTGCCTCTAGATGTGATTTTGATTTCCAACTTTTTCAAGCTTTTTCAAGTTTTTGTTTTGCAGATTATGCAGCCTCTAGCCCATGAACTCTTGTGCCTTGTGTTGTATATGTATCAAGCATTGTATTAGGTCAATGTTTGGGCTTTGAATCTTTGTGAATTGATGATTGAAGATATGATATGAATCACCATTAAAAAGCTTCCAAAATTGTCTCAAATCCAATATTTTGTTCACAACATGGCTTGATTCGGATTTGATTTGGTCCATGATGATAATTGAAACCTGTAACAATCAAAAAGATCTTATTTCATCAATATTTGGATTTTATTTGGATTTAAATTGATTAAAAGTGAATTAATTCAATAAAAATCAAATAAAATAGAAAAATTAATGAATGGACATAAAAATGAAGATAGGACACGTGTGTGGGGTGACAAGATCAAATCAAGTGGAAAAAAGTGGACCCTTTTGACAAAATTTGAAGTTTTGGGGATAGTTAGCTTTTGGCAATTTTGGAAAAATGCCCAACTTCAACAATGCATAACTCCTTCAATTTTGAACTTTTAGAAGTGTTATTGGACTTTTTAGAAACCTTGAGATGTCCTCTAACCAACCCTTTTGGTTTCATCGCATTTTGATATTCCATGCTCAAGTTATAATCTTTGGAAAAAAAAGGTGTTTTTGTTGACTTTCAAAAATGACCTATAATGTCTAAATTTGTAATTTCTTGTGAGTGCATTTATTGATATTGGAGTGTGAATATGGATTGTAGAAAATTGCATCCTCTTCAAAATGAGCTTTGGATGGGTCATTTCTCATAAAGTATGAGAAAGTTATGCTTGGTCAAAGTTGAGTTGACTTTTTCCACAAAACCCTAATTTAGCAACTTTTGAATCTTGATGAATCTTGGGAAATCCTTGATGAATCATGATCAACCCTTGATCAAATGATGAATTATCCTTCAAAATGATAATATTGACAAAAAATCTTGAGGTTTGACTATTTGTAGGTCACAGTTGACTTTTGCCCTAGCACAGTCGATTTTTAGACTTCTTGAGCAATTGTCTGACCAAACTTCCTCTGCAAGGCTTGAAATTTGACATGGATGAACTTGATATCATATTAGGACATTGGGGAGAACTTGAGGTCATTTGTATGTAAGGACCTTGATGCAACACAAAACCCTAATTTGAGGTTGACTGCCTTAGGAGATGATTTGATTGTCCAACTCTTGAGCCATCTTGAGCAACTTGGAGATTATTCTTGAAAGGTCTTGAAAAATATGGGAGGGCAAATTTTTGGGTACAACAATAGCCTAGTGGAGTAGGTTATTGTAATTCATTGTAAATCCTTATTTTAGAAGTTGTCAGTAAATATATTCCTTTTTCCTTTTATCTTCCTTGTGCACCAACACATCCTATGTGACATTGTATGAATTTTGTTGATGAGTTATGATATGATGATAATTGTGAACTATGTGAGTATATGATGATTTTGATGTATTAAATATGTCTAAGTGTTATTATGATGTATCAGTGAGTATGAAGTGTTAATGAATGATATATGTTGTTATCTGATGATGTCGTTTATAACTACTAATCTTTTCTTTATATCTTTTATAATAAATCATGATTACTCACCCTTCTGTTTGAATGTTTCCTCCATGTGGATAACACGCAGATGCTTAAGAGTAGCTTGTAGGAGCACTGAAGATAGCTCTAGAGTAGTTTGTTTAGTTGTGTTATATTAGTTTTGTCTTGCTCTGATATGTAATATCGAGTTAAGAACGCTTTATTTTGCGAATGTTATGTTCCTATTTATGATGATATACTTTATGACGGTTTTGATTGTTAAACTGATTTTAATTCCAATTTTTGATGAGACTAAAACATTATGAGTTTTGTTTTATAAAGAATTTTATTCATGACGGTAAATCCGCTGCGGTGTTGTTAAATGACTTGTTTAAAGTATAAAAATGTGTGCTTACTATTGATGTAACCCGTGTTACGGAGCATGATTGTTATTATGATGTTGTCTATGAAGTGTGACACCCTTGTGTGGTGGTTTTACTTGATTTATTTTGTAAATTATATGAGAAATACATGTGGGGTTAGAAAGGTGTTACATACGACGTACCAAAAATATTTGCAAGAATATTCTTAGTCAAAGACATGCAGATAATACTCAAAACTCTCGAATCTAGTTCCTCCCATATTTCGTTTTCCATATTGAAAATATTTCCTTTCAACACCTTTTGTAACCTTAATTGTATCAAAACATATTTGACTTGAATTTTCAAGAATCAAAATTGATTCTTCCATCAAATTTCTCTATGCCAAGTCTCATTGCCATGAGAAACTTGACATAGCAGGCAAAACCTTTCCTACAACAAAATTTTTCCCAACCAACACAAAGTATAAAATATCTTTTCTAACATCAAACAAAACTGCAACCACATACATAGCATACTAAACAATCTATACCCATCAAACCAAAGCTCTTGATACCAACTGTTAGGAAAAACAAAACATAGAGGAAAAAAACACAATAACAACACAAAAATTTAACGTGAAAACTCTAAAATCGAATAAAAATCACGATCATTGTCAAATGACAACAAAAGAAATAACACTATAAAAATTATTACAATACATAGATTACTCTCAATCAACTCAAGGACTCAATACATTCACACTCTCTAAAATAAATATTTAACTCCATTTCACAATAATCTAATACAAAAATATATAAAAAAAATATTTAAAAACAATCAAACACAAATTTATAGTGTATTTTACTTATAATGAAGAATTTGAATATTTTATATAACTTAAACTCTTTATTTTTATAAAACTAATCGACGTGAAATTTCTTCAACCTTATTATTTCCAATCAATCTCAACAAAATTATCTAAAATATTTTCTATGGCCTTACACGTGGGCTCCACGTGAATTTATTTTTGTTTCTCTATTTACAACACCTAAGATGGAGCTAAGTCCTCGTCTATCTATATATAATTAGGTGTATACTATAAATTTTCAGCTACATCTTCTTCAACTTGAAGATCATATTATTTCCTTTATTTCTTCTACAACTTGAAGATTATGGTATGTGTTCTGATATCTTCTTCTTATATCTTCACATGCATTTATATTTTTATCTCTCTTTCATATTCGTGAGTATATTTGTTTCTTCTATTATTTGTGCAAGAAAATGTGGTTTTAAACTTTAATTTGGACAGCTTGAATTTAGTGTTAGTTAAATTGTTATTCCGAAAAATATTAAATAATTTTTTATACTTAATTTATTTATATTTTAAGTAAATAAATTTTATAAGAGAGTATTTACACGTTCGGAAATAGTTGGTAATTTGTATCTTTGCTTTTAAAAATGTAGTAAAATTTTAAAAGGTCCTATATGTAGAAGAGAGAGAAAAAAAGAGCAAGACAAAAATGATATGGAGTTTGAACTCGTATAGTACAATTTTGTATAATTGGTTGTAATCCATATACAATTATTATTTTTAAAAATGACAAATTTATTTGCACAAAATGTCAAAAATGGGAATATAATACAACTTTCTTTAGTCCAATTTTTGTACTATTACGTTCATTGGTGAACTACGGGACTTTTCTTAGCACTGATTTTGTAACCGTTCACCTTAATTTGCAATAGAGAGACACACAAGTTGAAGATCAATAAAGTGAGGTTGAATCTAAAATATTTGTTCTTCCATTTTCAAGAGAAAAAGAAATAATAAATATATAATAGTCACTCAACAGGAAGAAACATATAGTATTAGATTGGACGTCGTTAAAGTTCATATCCTGATAACTAAAGTTGTATGTATGAATTTTTAATGATTATTATTATTTTATTAACAGACAAAAAAAATATAAAATATAAAGTTTGAGAGTATTTAAGTTTACTCGACTACAAAGTATTAATATTATTAAATTGAATATGTTATCTCAATTTGAATCCAAAACTTTGTACTTATATGTGATTTTTTTAGTAATTATTATTAATTCAAAGAATTATTTAAATTTGAATCTATATATTTTGAATAATCTTACACAAAACTTATATTTGAAATATATTTCTTAAAAAATTATATTATTTATTATATTTTAATATTCAATATTATATATTTATGTTAATAAATGTCAAATTAATCTTTTAATTTATAAAATTGAGTTTTTAAAAAAAATTCATAAAGATTATTTTTATAAATACAAAATATAAATTATTTTGTAACACTAAAACAAACAAGTCTTATATTTTATTAAGAAATTTTATGGTAAACACAATTATTTAAAGATTATTTTCATCTAAAAAAACATTAGATCAATACATAAATAGAATTAAGAATATGAAAAATGGTGGTGCAGGTTGACAAGGAAGAGAGAAAAATAGTGGTGAGTAAACCACTACAACTTGTTATTACAAAAGAATCAGATTCAGATTCAGAAGAAGCTTACAAGGCCCCTAATCTTTTACAACGCATATTAAGTTTATTCAAGAATGTAAGGCCAGGATCTGATCTCACATCCCTCCAGGTATTCTAGATGTTTATTTTTGAATTGGAAACTTGTGTGGAAATGGAATGAGTAAAGATATTCTCCATTCTTTTTCTTCTCTACTTTTTTTGCTATTTTTAGGGCTTTAGGAAAAATATGTGAGATACTAAAAAAATGAAGGTACAGGAATATTAATGTATACTCGGAAAATAGTACTGTATAGAAAAACTCAATTGTCCTTTTGGACCAACCATTTAATATCCTTGTTGTCACCTCGTGGACTCCGACATCTTTTTACGTACGTACTACATGACATTCATTCATATTTATGTTTCAGAAAACCTCTGCGTCACTTTTAATTTAAAGGTGGTAATTGAATCTATTAAACAAATATCAATTCAATTCATTTATTAAAACAATAAAAAACTATTTATGCAATTATTAAAGCCAAATCATTTTAATACTTCTGATATTTTTAATTTTTCAAAATATTTTTTTTAAAAACAAAGAATTTAATAAAGAATATCTCTCTCCCTCTTATTTTATTTACAAAATTTTATATAATTTTTAAAAAATGACTCTTTAAACTACACAAAATAAATGGCTCCTGAAAAGGTAAAGAAAAAATTATATTCTCAGAAATAATTTACTAAAAAAATAAACGAAGATAAATTATTTTGTTTAACAGACAAAGAAACAATTTTGAAGAAAAAAAATCAGAGTTTATAAAATATAATTTTAAAGTAATAAAATTTTGAATAATTAGGTGTAGAATTTAGCTTAATAAGTTTTTTAAAAAAATTAAAATAAAAAATGTAAATCTATAGGTGTGAATCTCGAAGGCTTCAATTTCTATCCCAATAAAAAACTCTCTGTTTACCATTTTAATAACTTTCACTCTATTATTTTTGTAAAAACAATTCTCTATAGTTAATTTTATGAGATCACGACGATGACAAAATTAATTAAAGAGTTTAATATATAATATTTTAATTTTTAATTAAAATTAAGGAGTAATTAGAAAATATTGTGGTTCACACTTTTGAAAATTCAAAAACATTATAAAAAAATTTTTAGAAATTCATTTTCGAATGCACCATGATATATTTTTGCTAAAATTTGGTTCGTAGATGCAACATCGAATATTTCTGAGTTGAATTCTATTTCGAAGATGCATATCATGCATTATGAGCAGGTATGATGGCTTTCGCACTCTGTATGAACACTGGTCAAATATTGTTTCTGTCAGGAATCAAATTCGGTATTCTCCAAATGCCGTTCTTTGCAGGAGCTCCTTTACCAATGGAGCCCAAGTGTTTGGTTTGTCATAATCTATAATTTGATTCAATCATTAACGTCTCAAAATAAGATAATGCATTAATTAAAAAAATATCTCAAAATATTACAAACATAGTTCTCAAAGCATGGAAAATACTAGTAAAATATTTGAAAATACAAAAAAAAAACATAAACTATCGTGTATGCCTAATCCTAATCTCCTGGCTCCTCCTCTGTTGTCGGTAACCCCAGTCATTTCGTGTCTCAGTAAGAATGGAACGTGCTAGGACAATTACATCATCGCCGCATCTCTCAAACAACCCGAACTCTATACTCTTTATCGTAATCTGCATAATATTCTGACAGATCAACAACACATCAACGACATGGTCATCCCTGGCCTGCTCATTCTCCATGATTTTCTCATGAGCAGGCCTAGGTGGACGTCTAGGAGTGTCTGGTGTCAAGACAAAGTGTGACTCATAATCGAACGAAGTCATGTAACCATCAACATAATGCTACTTATTTGTGGTTGGCATACTTTGACACTTCTTTGGTACTTGATGACTCTCGTAATCCGCTAGTATGTCATCAAAATGTTTGCGGATGATACTGATAGGAGCAGTCACGGAGGTGGGTCTTAGAATGATCAACTCAAATCCAAACTGACGCATGCATCGCTCTGACAAAATCCTCTACATCAAATTACTCTCACATGCCAGTCATCCAAAGTAATATGAAATGGGGTCGAAGACAACAGTGTCTAGTGAGTTGCGTATGGTGTCCAATCGATGTTATCATGCTGAGTTCTATCAATATACACACGAAACAGCCCCACATCATCATTTCCTTTGCGTGAGTAATTCAAGCAAGTATGCAGTCGATCCTCAATATATGGTAACACACGATCAAACCCATGTATGCGATTAAAACGAGATATGATCCATCTCTGAAAATGAATAAGAAATAAACATTAGTAACAAGTGTAAAAAAATTTCTTTTAACATGTATAATGACTATGAAAATTACGGCCAGCAAGGCGCAAGAGTAGTAGCAGAACTAGAATACATTATTTTTTTTGGGGGGGGGGGGGGGGGGGGGGGCACCATGTAACATTTACAAAGATAAATTTAAGGGTTCACTGCACTTTCAATATCATAATGTAGTGTAGTGGAAGCATTTAAAGATTCACTAAAACTTTGGGTGTTGATGATTGTAGGCTTGAGCCTCATTAGGTGCATTTATAATGAGTAAAGCAATAAAAATTTAAAAATTTGCTTTTGGAAGGACTTGAACCCATGTCCTTTACTTAAATCAAAATTTTCACTACAACTACGCTAGATTGTTATTATGTAATACAGGCAAAACTTCATTAATATATTTTAAAACTTTAATGGTTAAAACTTCTATATATATCTAATAAAAAGAAGGTTTTAGAATTTTTGGGGTCTCCATGGCCACCTCATGTCCCCGTGTAGGTTCGCCTATGTGCAAGAGTCCGTCATTTACTTCTTCATCCGAAGAGAACCTTCACTCAACTTTGAGTACAAGTATACCAAATAGGCGGTCCTCAAATTCCACTCGAGAATGGCCTCCAAGTTGATGAAATACTGAAGGTATGCCACATCGACATATGTTGCACTTTTGTCCACAAACATGGACGGGTCAACTAAGAAAAAGAGGAAAAACCTCAAAGCACACTCCCGGTGGTATGTAACTTGTAGTTCATCACTGTCGGGATCACTGGACGCAATTATGGTTTCACAATTGAGTCTCATGCTTATGTTATTTGCAACCATTCTCCTAAAATAAATGGAAAAAAATAGTTTGAAATTTTGTAGCTGAAAGGACACAATTCAGATATGCATCTCCGAAAACCAGAAAGGACCCAATTCGGATATGCATCTCTGGAAAATCTCGTGTTTTGCTTCAATGGCATAAACAATTACTAATATTGCCCTAACAACCCAAAATGCATCCAAAGTGCATGTCTGTAACATTACCTATTTCGAATTCTAATACTACCTAATGCATCAAAAATAAACTATTTTATCTAATACCTTAATCGAAATTAAAAAAACAATCACAAACTTACTCAAAAATGTGTTGATGAGGATGAACAATGTTGAATGTAGTATGTGGAGTGAATTTGGGATTGGAAAGATTGAAGTAGATGTAATTTTGTTGCTTGAAAAATAGGCTTGTGCAATGTTTCTCACGAGATCCAATGGGGAAGAAAAAGATTTAGAAAATGAAAAAGGAGGAGAGATAGGGTTTGACACGCGATATATATGCATTGAAAATGTTCGGAGATGCATCTCAAAAAATTTACCTTAATTTGAAAACAAGGATTAATTCAGAGATGCTTCTGCGAACAAACCCTAAAACACATTCAGGGATGCATCTCCAAATTGAATTTTAGCATAGTGAGGGGAGCTCAACAATTTGCTCTTATTTTGTGTGAAAAAGTTCGTTCGTAGATGTATCTCCAAAAATATAGGACATTTTTTATGTTTCGTTAGGAGTTTGGGAGAACAGACAAGAGTGGGAAAAGAAATTGCCTTTCACAATTACTCACGAGGATGTTTAAGCAAAGCTCTGAGAACATTGTCAACACCACCGTCAAAGGTTTTTGCTGGTGGAGAAGAATCCAGTTCCTCTAGGAAAAAGTACGTCAGATAGGTTTTAATAACAAACGTCATACTTACTATCATTACCAAAATCTTGAGGAGAGAGTGAGAATCTAGAATCGACTTCTCGAATAAAGACTCCATTGGTATTCTCCCTCATAGCAATGACTCCATGGTCGTCACAGTGCAATATGATAACTGGGACGTGAAACGAGTGTTGATCGACCTTGGAAGCTCAACAAACGTCTTATTATGGAGCGTTTTCTAAAGGCTGTGACTCAATCCAGACAACATCAAAGCATTATAAGGTTCTCTGGTTGGCGTGTCATAAAAACATGTACAAGTAAAGGGCCACTTGATGCTCGAAACGGTCGGCTCAGAGGCGAGCATGAAAATGATTAAAGTGAAGTATCTTGTGGTGGACGCCTTGTCTCCTACAACTTTATCCAGTGGAGGTCCTCCCTCAACTTACTAGGGGGGGGTTCTGTTAACCCTTCATTTGAGCTTAAAATAACAGTTACATGATGGGCTAGTTGGATCAATTCAGGGGGACCAAGAGGCCACCCAATAATGGTATCAGATTAGCTTGTAAATGAGTATGGAGCATGTCGCCAAGGGCGCTTACCCCATCCAGAAGCACGTGACACATATGTAGCAAGATGGGACCCTAGAATGGGAGTTGAAAATGAAAGGTTCACTTCGACGAAAGGATTGAAAGAAGTCCATATTGGACCCTTGGACCCCAAATTCACTAAGTTGTGCACCTTTTTGTTTGAATTTAAAGAGGAAATTAAAGTTGGTCTCCCTGCTTAGGAGGAACATTGATTCGTTATCATGGGTTCCCTTGAATATGCCAAACATAGATACAAGTGTGGTGTTCCGTCATCTTGTCGGTCGTCCCACTGTGAAACCAATATCTCAATGGAAACACAAGTTAGGAAATAAGAAGATATCAATTATAGATGAAGAAGTGCAGAACCGAACAAACATTGGTTTATAACTAAGGTAAAGTACCCATCTTGGCTAACTAACGTAATCTTTGTAAGGAAGTCATCGAACAAATGGCGCATGTGCATCGAATTCAATGACCTTAACTCTGCATGTCCCAAAGATTTGTATCCCTTACCCAATATAGATTGCCTAGCTGACGGATCTTCAGGCTACAAAATAATAGGTTTCATGGACGTATACTCCAGATACAACCAGATCAAGATGGATCCTGTTGACGTTTCCAAGACATCTTTCATGTCCAATTATGGAAACTATTATTACAACGACATGCCTTTTATGCTAAAGAGTCCATGTTCCCCCTATTAGAGACTCATGGATGCGACGTCCTCAAAACAGATATGACACAACCTAGAATTCTACATTGATGACATGACAATTAAGACATTAGAGACAGAGAGTCATAGGGTCAGTAAAGGACTACAACATGCGCCTAAATCTCGCCAAGTGCTTGTTTAGTGTTCAAGAAGGCATATTTCTTGCTTTTTTTTGTTAACCAAGAGATGTATAGAGGCAAACTCATACAAGTGTCAGGCCATCATTGATATGATGAGCCTTTTCAATGCTAAAGAGGTTTTCCAACTAATGTGGCGTCTAGCCGCCCTATCTAGTTTCCTTTCTTATGAAGAGGACAATTATTACACATAATTGTTAGCCTATTCTAATGAAGGATTACATGGCGTTTGTCAAGAAATGCGATAAAATTCCAGAGGCACACTAACTAACATCATGCACCAGCTGAAATCCTTCAATCTATTACGATGCCCTGACCATTCTACCAATGGGGTAAGACGTTCTAGGCCATTTCCCATGGCACCCGAAAAACTAAAATATCTTATTGTTACAGTTGACTATTTCACAAAATGGATGGAAGATGAATCCGTTTCTAAGATACAGCAGAAAGCGTCCACCATTTTTATTGGTAGAGACTTATGTGCATGTTCAGTTTTCTAGGTGTTATCATTTCAAACAATGGAACTTAGTTTGCTAGCATTACTATAGTTGATTTCAATCATGATTGGAGAGTGTAAAGAAAACTTATTTATTTTGTCTATCCACAATCTAGCGGGCAAGAAAAATTAGCAAGTAAGGTGACATTAAATGGGGTCAAAAAGAAGTTAGATGATATTAAAGGGGATCAAAAAGAAGTTAGATAATTTCAAGGAAACTCCCTTCACCATGGTGTATGGAGCTGATGCCATTCTACTTGTCAAAATCTACACGCCTCTTTGACGATGCTCTCGGTTTAATGCCAAAGAAAATGAAGCTAGGCTAAGATGCACCACTGACCTAATTAACGAAACCAGAGATGTTGTCCACATCCGAGAGTTTTCCTCCAAGAAAATAGCATCCATAAGGTATAACTCCAAAGTGGTGTAGAGGAAAATGCAAGAAGGAGACATGGTGTTGAGACAACGTCTCCACCCAGTAGGGAAAACGATAACCCAACTGGGAAGGGCAGTATCGCATAAACCAGAAGCTTTCCCACTGAGCCTACAAGCTCTAGGAGTTAGATAGACAACTCTTTCCCAGAACTTGAAATTCAGTTAACCTAAGATATTACTATAGTTAATTATTTGTTAAAATGTGAGTTTCCTGCCAATGTATGAACCTCTTTGAAAAACCTTTATTATTATTTGCAGTGGGTTTACTTGGTTCTGTTGTCGACTTAAATGATGGATTTCCATAAGAATATCCTTATCACCTTAAAAAGGAAATATAAATGTTGGGCTTCCTCAAGAGTTTCTTGTTTCCTTAAAAAGACAATATAACTGTTGAACTCCCACGGGAAGATCCTTGCCGCCTTTAAATGGAAATAAGAACGCTACATTGCATTGAAAAATTTCCTTTCCACCCCTAGGGAAATATAAATAATGTTCTTATGTGACATCTCCCATATAGACCACTCAACTAAAGTCACGCTTGAGACACTCAACTAAAGTCTCGTCTGAGGGACTCAACTTAAGTCTTGCTTGAGGGACTCAACCAAAGTCTCATTTAAGAGACTCAAACTAAGTCTTGTCTAAGGGACTCAACTAAAGTATCACCTGAGGGACTCAACTTAAGTATCTTATAAGAGAATCAAACAAAGTCTTGCATGGGGGACTCAACTAAAATCTCACATGCGTGACTCAATTTAAGTCTCGTTTGAGGGACTCAATTAATGTCTTGCCTGAGGGACTCAATAACTAAAATATCGCCTGAGGGAATCAACTTAAGTCTCGTCCGAGAAACTCAATTAAAGTCTTGCGTGAGGGACTCAACTTACGTCTCACTAGAGGATTACAATTTAAGTCTATCCTGAGGGACTCAACTAAAGTCTTGTCTGGGGGATTCAACTTAGTCTAGTCTTAGGGACTCAACTAAAGTCTCGCTTGAGATAATCCACATAAGTCTCTCCTAAATGACTCAATTAAAGTCTCGCATGAGGGACTTCACTTAAGTCTCTCCTAGAGGACTCAACTGAAGTCTAGCCTAAGAGACCCAACTTAAATATCGTCTGAGTTGTTCCACTTAAGCCTCCATATGAACGATTCCAACGAAAGAGAACAAAACTAAATCATTTCGCCCTTTCCAAGTCCTCATGCTTGAGGGATTGTGTATTGATATATTCATGAAGGACCCATAAGGGGTGACGTGAGAGGCAAATGATGTAATGTCTCAACATTTTTCCGATCGCTCGTTTCCTAGTTCGACCGCGCATTTATTAGATGTGACGCCCCTTCCTCAAATATGTCACTCACTTCCTGGATAATCTCATATTTACATAGATACTAGATACGTAGAGCTTCTAACCTCCCTACGCGAGTTAGCTCTAAACCCTACAATAAACTCTAAAAGTTTCTGACAGCTTTTAATCACTAGGGATTATCACGTATTATACTTTTAGCCCGTACAAATCATAAATTCTAAACAATTTAATTAATCAAATTTAATTTTAAAATTTACCTTGAACCGCTTCTTTCACCAAAATCATATTTTGACATCATTCAAACCAAAATTTTCAATCTCATCATTAACCATAAATACCCTTAAGGACAATAAATAAATTTAAACAAAAATCTTAATATATTAGATTATGTTAGAGTTCAAAATACAGCAACTTTTGTATAAGTTTACTCTACATTTGAATGAAGTTTCCGTATAACCCTTCCTTCTACTAAAGATACACAATCGTGCATCTACTTGTATATATTTTTGCAATTGAAAATTGCAAATACAAACCATCTATAATTTGGAACATGTATTATACATAGAATGATGAAAATTTTGAAAATGTTATATGTTACATGCAGTTGCCACCATTATTTAACTTACCAAAATCCCAACTTCAATGCTATGGGGAATCAGTGTATTGCACTGCTTCAGACATGCTAAGCATATGCAATAGAGGACAGAGTCCATTAGATAGGTTCATATCTGTTGTTGCATGGTGCATATCTACCACACGTCCTGCATCTTTTGGGGTTGCTCCTTATAATCCAATACTTGGTGAGACACACCATGTTTCAAAGGGAAATCTTAATGTCTTACTTGAACAGGTACTTATTTACTCTCAAATGGTTGCTTGCTGAGCAAGTTTCGTTGATATATTCACTGCATGCTAATAAAGTTCTTGGTTTGCATGTATATCCAGGTGTCACACCACCCTCCGGTAACGGCCCTCCACGCAACTGATCAGAAGGAAAACATTGAAATCATATGGTGTCAGCAACCTGTTCCTAAATTTTATGGTATATATATCTTGACCTTATCTAAGATCATTAGTATTTCTGTATCATTTCGTAGCTGCATTGGCGCATACTTGAGGTCGACTTGAAAAAAAAAAATTGTTACTGATGTCTATGTGTTAGTATCGTATTCATGTTTAGTATATCTTAAAATTGAATGTGTAGGCACATCGGTTGAGGCTCAAATGCTTGGCAAAAGGGAACTGAAGCTCTTAAACCATGGAGAAACATATGAGATGAATTGTCCTCATCTTTTATTTAGAATTCTTCCAATTCCTGGTGCTGATTGGGTTGGCACAGTTGATATAAGGTGCTTAGAGACAGGTTTAGTAGCTGAGTTAACCTACAAGTCAAGTCATTCTTTTCTAGGACTTGGTGGAAATCATAAAGTCATCAAAGGGAAGATCCTTGACTCTTCATCCTTGAATGTTCTATATGAAATTGATGGTCATTGGGATAGGTATGCATTATCTTCCATCATAAAGATGCTAAATAAAAACTTGATTAATGAAAGTTTATATTATTGACTAAATAAAATCAATAATTATTGTGCACGCTAAATACAGAGATCAGTAACTCTATAATTGTTGAGTCAGTCACGGTCACAAATACATGTTTGAGTATATGCATATTAAAATGTATTAGTCTTCAATAAAATGTGTTGGCCTTCGGCCAGCCTGTTCGACTTGGCCTAGTCACGTTGATCTAGCTTGGCCCGACCCCATGGGATGTCATGAAATCGAGACAGACTTTGCTGAGTTTGGTTTTAGATCCGACCAAACTTACACCTTAGAGTAACTCTCATCCAATTTGTTTTGTAGGATTATAAAACTGAAGGATAGAAAAAATGGGAAAGTTAGAGTAATATATGATGCAACAGAAGTCATTTCAAGGCTAAAAGCACCTATTCTCAAGGATGAAGAGGTACTAATGAAAATCAACTCATCTTTTTCTTTATTGTTAGTGTTTGTCAATGTCATTTTTGAGACAATATTTTATGTTCAAGTAATTAAGGGACATGTTTTAGTGAATGTGACATGAGATTCTCTTGTTCATCAGTGTATGTGGCCAACAGAATCAGTCAATGTGTGGAGTGAATTGAACCAAGCCATAATGAGTAAAGATTGGGAGAAAGCAAGAGAAGCAAAGCAAGTAGTGGAGGAGAGAGAAAGGGAGCTTGTTAGAGAAAGAGAGTCAAAAGGAGAAAATTGGATTCCTAAACATTTTGTAGTGTCTTACAGCAGTGAAGTAGGGTGGAACTGTTCACCTATTCATGGATGTGTATCAGCTGCTCCTATCATAGCACTATAATTGTTAGTTATGTATTTTGATTGTTTTCTTTTTTAATTGATGTGCAATTATGTACTTAACTATCAAAATGGACATAAGTTTTATTTTAGATTTGGTTTATTGTGAAGAATATAAGATCTCTTTAAAGGAGTACATGAATGTTTTATTAATTTAGGTGAAATCCTGATGATGGATGTAAGTTTCCAAGGTATGAAAGTCGATCAAAGCAACTTCAAAGCTGACAGTGAATGCAAATCTATCTCGTCTTCAAGCTCCTTGTCACGCAGAAAATTATAGCAACTCTTAACGGAGAACATACCATTATGATTAGGCCACCACTTGAAGGTGTCAAAGGATTCAACCGATGGTTTATACCCTGTTAGCAGTTCAATAAGATCAAAAACTTCCTCGGTTCCGAATTTGCCTAGTAATTCATCGGCTGCAACATGAAAATCCTAAATCCGCGTGTTGGTCCGCAAGCAGCCCATATCTTCCACCTTCCCAAATGCACCATAAATTATTTCAACACCCACTCCCTACAATTACAGTATCGTCTACGAATTAAAGAAGTTTAACTTCAAGATCCCCACTGATTTTGTAACCCTCAAACATCCCAATGCCAGCTGACTTCTTAACCATTCCTGCCAAACCCTCTGAAACTAGAGTGAAAAGGAAAGGTGATAAAGGGTCACCCTTTCTGAGGTCTCTCTCCACCCATATATCTCATGTTGGACTCCCATTGACGAGTATTAACATAGTGTTGTTGAAAATGCATGCTTCCATCCAACATATACTCTTACTTCCAAAGCCAAATTTATGAATCATGCTTCTCAAAAAATTCTAGTTAACACAATCATACGTCTGTTGGAAATCTACTTTGAAAATGAAGCAATCTTTCTTCTCTTTCCCTGTGTGATCAATAATTCCATTTAAAGCAAGTACACCATCTAAGATCTTCCCGCCAGATACGAATGCAGATTGAGAAAGTGAAATTAAATCTTTCAAAACCTTTTTAATTCCGTTTGCAAGGATTTTAGATAGAATCTTGTATAAGCAACTTGAAGGTGTGAAGAACATGCAAGAAAGAGGGGGGTTGAATTGAGTTTTCCTTTCTTGAATAACTTTTACTTCTAAGCATTATTCGTTGAACAATGCTTCTGAGTGTTACTTCTAAGTAATGCTTCTAATTAAGTTAAGAAAACATAAACTCTAAAGTATAAGCAAAAGTAAAGAACACGCGATATATCTTGGTTCACTTGAGAAATCCCTAAGCTAGTCCAGTCCACCCTTCCAAGGTGATTTCACCTTGAACTCAAGGACTTAATCCACTATAACCAATCTGATTACAATCGCACAGGCAACTTCTAGTGACTAACATCCGATGACGCGTTCAGGGATCCAAACTAGATATAACGGTCATTGACCCAACAGAATCTGATTCTTCAGAATCTCCTATCAGGATTTCCTTCCAATAATATCCATCAGTGATCTCAGAAGGCTGACCTTCACTCAAACCCCTTTTGAGATATGACTACCATTGACCCAATAGAATCCACTACCAGGATTTCATCTACGATGACCGCAGCCAAAGTCTTCTTGAGAATCCTAACTCAACCGAGTCTCTCAAGGTATCATCAAATAACTATTTTATTTACATGCTTATTTTCCTCCTACCCACCTATGCACCAAAATATATGTTGGCATAACAGTCGATCTCCCCTCTTGTGGGTCAATCAAGAAATTCACAGGCACCTTTTTCTTCATAGATACCCCTTCACGCCTAAATATATCAAATAGGACATCCCTAACAAAAAGCACGTCGGTATTTTTATTCTGGAAGCTCCTTGCAATGAATAGTGTGTTACCCAAGTGTATCCAAGCATTCCTTGTGGAAAATCATAGTTTGATTTATACAAACTACTTTATCATTTTGGTATGAAATGGTAGACATATGCATGAACATGGAGAGTATATTTGGTTCATTTGTAGATTCGAAAACAAACTCATATTTAGGGGAAATGGGTTCGGTAGGTGGAAAAGTCACCCTAACTTTATTATAATTTTGATTCTTTATTGAAGAAAATAATAATAAAATTTATACATAAGATGAAAGAGAGGGGAAAACAAGAGAGGCATAAAGACACAATTATGTAAATTTTCCGTCACAAATTTACTAAAATGTGACCCACTGACCCCTATTTGAGCCAGAGAGATTAAAGAAGGAATAACCACTAATACAAAAAACACATTTAACGTTAGACGCAAAATGCATTTGGCTTCAGCTATAGAAGCGAGGTAACAAAAGGCGACATGAAAAGCTACCACTTTACACCTCGATTATTGAATAACTGAGGGGAAAAGTGGAACTGGTCATGGGTTCGATCCCCAATAACTTCATTTTTTACATTTTCAAAACTGGGCTACTTTTTACCTCAATTTGTAACAATAACCGAGGGGGTAAAGTCCTGTTTACAAAAAAAATTGACCTGTTTTTTTCGTTTTAATCTGCAAAACATCCAATTTTTTGACAAATTATAAATCCTTCTCATCATCAACAACAACAATAACAATAACAACAACAAAAATAAAATCAATAGATTCCTTAAACATTAAGTCTCAACAACAACAACAACAATAAAATCCATGGATTCTTTAAACATTAAATCTCAAAAACAACAACAACAACAATATTAACCATTTTACTTGATACAACTACAACTAACATTAATAAGTTACTTTCATTCTTTTCTAACTAGAGAAAATATTAAACATTAAGAAACCAACCTTGAAATATTTTCCTGCTCTTTCTTTCATTGTCATTGTTTTCATATGTTAAGTTTAAATTTAAGAACTTTTCATCCAAGATGAATAGTTGTGACATTCACGTTTTGATTGGATAGTGAGAGTTTCACGTGGATAATTAATTTTTCATGTGGATTGATGAGTTGGCAAGTGCACGAGCGAGGCTACAAGGTCCAACGCTGCTATGAAGGATCTATTTATAATGTAGTTATAGAGGCTTCTGCATGGGATAACCAGAAAATGAGTGTTGATCAATTGGAGGTCTCTTTCCTCTCTTATAGATACCATCAACTCCATATATCACCAGGGACGAGTGGATGTCCCATTGGATTCTTGCTCATTTGAACCGTTGTATGGTATTTGTTGGACAATTGACTTCATGCACAAAAGGGGGTGGTGAATTATGGTATTTAAAATTCGTTTATACTTTTCTCGATTAAGATTGTATTAGTATTTTTAATGAAGTCATTTGCAGCGGAAATAAAATACTGAAAGTAAATTGCAGAATTTAAAAGGATAGGGTTAGAAAGATTGCACCAGAGGGTTATCCAGTTTTGGTTGAACGTTGATCTAGTCATGTCCCAAAGAGTTCTTCTTGATATATTTGAAATTCTGGTATCAGATATGTGGCGTCGAATGAGATGTCACAACACAAATATCTGTTTGCAAGTAAGGTGCGGTAAAATCAAAAGCAGTAAAAACTTCAGAGATTGTTCACCCAGTTCAGTGTACAACAACACCTACTCTGGGGGCTACCAAGTCAGGGACAAGTTTACTAAATAGTATCAATTCATAGACCCTCAGTAAACAATCAGTTTATGATCTAATCACTTAATTACTACCCAAGCAAAACTTCTACCTAAGACTCACCTTGGTATAAGGCCATCCTCAAATCCCTTCAATCACTTATAGAATAAATAAGTTTGAAACACTTCAATCATTCAATGCTTAAAATCTTATGAATGATACACAATTAACAACCCAAATAACAACTTAAGTATTTAAACTAATACTTAGAGTGTATTACAAATAAAAAGCCTAGACTTCTAATCAAAAAGAAAGTATTCTTCTTCAAAAGTTACTTGTCTTTGAATAAGGAAGCAAGTCCTTATATATGCGAAGCTTTGGGCTTGGGCTTAAAAACAAATATTCAAATCTTTTGAATATTTCCATAGAAACAGGCCAAGATAAAATTATGCAATTTGAAAAATACTCCTCCATATTTTTCGTAGCCTGTAGATCACAAATCCTGAATTATAGAGCGCTAAAAATCAGGAAACAAAAGACTTGACTGATTTTGGGCTGAGATCAATTCAGTAGGAAGATGTCAAGACATCTGCTTTGACATCGTTCAAAACAGTTTTATTCCAAATGTTAAGACATTTAGCAAAACATTAACAAGTCATTGTTTTACCAAAATTGCTGCAAACAAACACTTACAAACTCCATCTTTGACAAATTTTGGCTAAAACATTGTTAAAGCATATTATCAGAGCAACAGCACAATCATCAGAGCATTATCAGGGTAGTAGCAAAAGCAAGGCAATTAAAACATACATTCAGTTAAAAGTTAGTTGTTAGCACATGAAGATGTCAAAACATCTTCTGGACATGAGGCTCCCCCTCAAGTATTGAGCTCCCCCTCAATCAATGGTCAGTGGTCAGTGGTCAGTCACTCACTCACTTTCTCTACCTCTTTTTAGTCATAATATACCAAAGAAACGATGCAATCAAGATAATACCAGTATTAGGGTACATACCATATAATTCAAATGTCAAGCACATGTAAGTGCCAAAAAAAGGAACAAAGAGTTCAGAGAGACATCAAGTAGTATAATTGTTATCATGACCAATTGACTTGGTTGAACCATAACTTCTTTCCAAACTGGAGTCTTCACCTTCAGAGCTCATTGTATCATCAAGGTTGCTGTCCTTTGTAGGTTCTTGATCATCTTTTCAAATATTTGCTTCCTAGTTGAGCTCACTCTGATCACATCATCTAATTCCTTGCAGGCTTCCCTTAGTTCATTGATCATATCATCCTTGGTGAAGGTATTTTCAGCAGGAGCAGATGTGAAAACAATGTCTGGGACATGCTTTCCTGAAAAGAGCTTAAAATGGAGGGTCAAGGCAGACTCCCTCTTGCATACAACATCATTTCCACTTAGGATTCCATGATGCTGATTTAGGATAATTCCATATAGGAGGGAAGGAAAAGC